AATGCTTGTGAACAGTATTTAGAAACATAATTCCTCTCATTCAGTGAGGGTTTACAATACTAATGCAGGCATCTTCCATGGAAGGTGTGGGTGTTCCTTTCATTCTCCAAAATAGTAGCTAAGAGGCAGAGACTTAGATTTATAAAATTTCCTTATATTTTCTTTAGTTTCTTATATTCGAAATGCCAGATATTAACAGCATTAAAGTTTCATGGTAGCTGTGATATAGGAAAAGCAATAGACAGGTCTTGACACCTGAGTTTTAACCCAGGTTTTGCCAGTAAGCAGCAATATGCACTTGGGTGAGTCTCTTCACCACTCTAGGTCTCAGGTTCCTCCTTTGTGCAATAAGGGGAAGATGCTCCCCAGAAGAGCCCTCACAGCTCTAAGAGTCTATTATTTTATTAGATAGATTAGGCCTGTCATGCAAAACCCAGCAATGTATAAAAGTATTGGGAAAATAAATTAGTCTAAATGCAATACATTCAAAAATTATACTAATCAGTTTTTGTATATTTTCAAGCTTGGCAGTAGAAAGAAATGAAGACATAAAGATCATGAATTGAACCATCCCTTTATGTACTAATAAGAACTCAGGACAAATATCTGATTATTTTGTAACCACAAATATGTTGTTAAATGAAAAGAAGGGGCTTTGGTTGGAATTATCCAAATTGTATAATTGCTATAAATAACTTGGTTACAATCTTCTTGATATTTTTGATAAAGACACTGATTTGTGTCTGTCACACTTTGAGAGGTTTCAAACTCACTTATTTTAGCACAATAATACAGCCCAAATTTGGAACAACCTAGAAAGGAACTGGTGGTTGTCTTTGGGGGGCAGTAAGCCCCAGGAGTCACAACGACTTTAGCATTTCTGGCGGGGACTCTGCCTTTAATAGACACAATTCATGCTTACACACACTCTTCTCTTCCTTCTGACTGCTCATCTGTTACGATGGCACCATGCCTGCTCTGAGGAGTGTGTCAGGGTTTAACCAAAGCATACTTTGTGAGTGAATGAATGCACATAAAACAGAAATGACTAATACTTGCAACAAAAAGTAACTTCTGTGATGTAACTACTTCCATGTCATTAGAAATAAATAAAATGGGCCTAGTACTTTGGAAGGCAGAGGCAGATGGGTTGCTTGAGCTCTGGAGTTTGAAACTAGCCTGAGCAAGAGCCAGAGCTCATCTCTATTAAAAGCAGAAAAACTAGCCAGATGTGGTGGCACCTGTGGTCCCAGCTACTTGCGGGGCTGAGGCAAGAGGCTTGCTTGAGCCCAAGAGTTTGAGGTTGCTATGAGCTATGATGCCACGAGACTCTACCAGGGAAATAGAGTGAGAATCTGTCTCAAAAAAAGAAACACAAATAAATAAATAATCTAGTAGCTATTCCCAAAAAACTGTGTGGAAACCCCTAGAACATGGGATGTAGTATGATGTATTGGAATAGGTTGGCCAACCAATGGCCTGAATTGAAAAACAATGTAATAAAAGACAATAGAAAACAGGATGGATGAATGTTGTTAGTAATCAACAGGAATGAAAGTTGACTCGTGGAGGCTCCTGGAATGTTCTCAGTAATCCTAGTATATTAGAATTGGCCTCAAATGTCTTCTTTAATCTCCCAACCAGTACCAAAAAATCTCTATAACACCCATGAGAGATAGTAGTCTAGCCTTAGCTTAAATATTTCCAGTATGTTCTACACAACGGCCCTAGGAAATATGGGAGAAAATTAAAATTCTAAAGTTTTTGTTTTCACTAAGTCTCTGCTCACAGACTGTCTCTTTGGTGACACAGTGCAGCTCTTCAAGTCCTAGAAATTATCATTTGATACTTCAACTGGATCTCATATGATTAATCAGAAACAACACACATGGAAGCATTTGAGAGAAAAACTGATACACCACCACACAATAAAAATGCAGATTATGATGACTGAGTCTCTTTTTTACTTTCAGACAATTCTGAATACTCAATTTAACTAGTAATTCCTCATCATGCTTACCTCCCTCCCTCTAATATCTAACGCGAGATGGTTTATTAGATGGATACAGGCCTTTTTGTGGACGTTATAGACTCAAGTAAGGACAGAGGAAAGCTTTGCAGACCTCACTGCATGAAAATATTTCTGTTTCCCAGGAGAGGTGCTAAAGAATAAAGGCTACTATGATGTCAAGCCTCAATGGGAAACACAGTTTTTGTCTATTCCAAGGACACAATACTTTTAAAAATTCTTATTACTTTCCGTAAGTTTATCATTTTACGTGCATATTTACTCTGGCCTCAGTTTAGTCCAAATCAAAATTCTTGTATTTTTAATTTTTACTAAATATTAAAATGGAATCCTTTACCAGATCAACCCTCAATTACCTAGCTAGATACTTACAATGAGAAGCTCAGGTTTTGGAGTTAAGAGAGAGTTCAGTTCAGTTTCTGGCTCTGCTACTTAGTAACTATGTACGCCTACACAACTATTATAGCTTTGGTTCCTTATTTGCAAAATGGGGGTAATGATGCTTATCTAAGAGCCCCTTGTAAGGATAAATGAGATAGTATACATAAAGCAAATGGTTCTATAAATGGTAGCTAATTATGTAAGTATTCCTGCAAACAAGACCTTATGAAACACATACACAGTACTGTATGGCTGCTGTCTGATTTTTTCTTTTTAATACAAGGTTTAAGAAGGCCCCAGTACTGAAGAGGTTATTTCTAATGCTCTAGGAATTACATTGATCTCTTTCTTTGTGAATGCTTAGTGTCATAAGGCCAGTGCTGGAGTGGGGTTTAAGGATTATCACATGAAGACCTTCTTTCTCTCCACTCTTAATTCATTCACTACAGTCAATGCTACTCCAATTTCCATTAAGTAAAAGGTTTTCTCTCATCCATATAATATTGAACTATGGCTTGACTTTGGTGAGATACAAGGGAGTAATTGCTTTGAGGAGGTTCTAGAAACATCAAAACATAAGAGAAAGGCTCAAGTGATTTGTCAGGCAGCTTTTAAAGTTATTGCAATAAGAGGAAGAAGAAAGAAATTTTCCTAGGTTTTTTGAAAGCAAGGCTCTAATTTTTTTGAACTACAATTCCCAGAATTCCATCTACCTTACAGAAATAAAAGCTTACTTAATATTGAGATTCTTGAAAGCCTCAACTGCAACTCGAACAACTTTCCTGAGAAATGAAAACAGTATAACGTAAACATTTGTACCCCCATATTAATTTCAGATTAAAAACAAATATACTGAGAGTCTGAGATCAATTTACTTGTCTATTTCATGGCTCATAAACTACTCAGACTCAAGCAACAATACACCAAAGAAAGGTTTCCACGATTGAAGTAAGGCAGAGAAACAGGCAAATAATTGGCTCGGCGCCCGTAGCACAGTGGTGATGGTGCTAGCCACATACACTGAGGGAGCTGGGTTCGAACCTGGCCCAGGCCAGCTAAAAAACAACAACTGCAACAAAAAATAGCTGGGCGTTGTGGTGGGCGCTTATAGTCCCGGAGACCCAGGAGGCTGAGGCAAGAGAATCGCTTAAACCCAAGAGTTTGAGGTTGCTGTGAGCTGTGATGCCACAGCACTCTACTGAGGGCGACATAGACTGTTTCAAAAAAAAAGGGCAAATAATTAAACAGTTATTTTGTATTAAATATTATAAATATTAAACTAATATTTCAGAAGCATTAATTGGCTCAATTATTCAGTCTTGTTTTCCTTTGTAGTGGGAACTGGTCATCCTAATGTTCAATGTATGTAGCACTATATAGCCAAGTACAAGGGCTATAACCCACTCTAGCTCTAGGTTGTATAGTTTATCATTAAACTAGAAGCTAGGCTGATGCCACCACCCTCTACTCAGGGCAACAGTGTGAGAGTCTGTCTCAAAAAAAATATATATATACACACACACACACACAGAGTGACCATAAGGTTTGTGTACATTTTTTAAGTGCATACTATTTTAAATTGCATCCATTATTTTCAAAAAACCTAACACAATATAACTTATAAAGAACCATTCACTGTTCTAAATGCTTTATATGTATTAGTTTATTTTAGCCTCATGATAACTCCATGAGGTAACTATTATTATTATCCGAGTTTTACTGGTGAAGAAACTGAGGTGCAGAGGTGAGTCATTAAGTGGACTTGGCCAAGGTCATACAGCTAGCAAATGAGAGAACCAATATTTGGACCCAAGTGGTCTGTTTCAGACTCTATGCCCGTCACCACCACACTAAAACCCCTTTCAAATCAGTACTTTTAACTTCTGTGCTCTATCATAGGATTTAACGCTTCAATTAAAACAGAGGAATATCACTGCATTATTTTATATTCCCTTACATTCTTTTGGTAGCTAATGGCATAAGGTTAACTTCCATAAATACTAGTTTTTAGAGTAAATCCTTATATGATCATACAAGCCCTGTGGGGCAGACCTCTACTAGCTCTGAAGAAATGGGCTGAATAGACTTCAACCCTCACTTATTTGTACTTTATTGACATTTGTAGCAATCCTATGAGACAGATGGGCCAGACCATTTGACAGATGAGAAAAAGTGAAATGGAAAGAGTTATGTGATGTATTCTAAATTATACATTCAACAGCAGTTCCTGGACCAAATCAAGACCATCTGACTCCGAGTCATGTTGCTATGCCAGGCTTTCTAGGATTTCTGCAAGGCGAGGTCATAATAATGGAGATACTTGGTTTATGGACAAGAAATAAAGAATATGAGCAATTCAAGTACACTTACTAACACCTACTGAGTTTTTTTTTTTTTTTATTTAAAAAATGAACATGGCAAAAAGCATGGTGCCCAGCTGTTATCACTGGGTGCTCGAAGACCTGTCTCATACATGATCATAAGGCACTCATTAAGGGAGCCTGCCTTGACTCTTCCTAGGAATGGCATCAGTTTCATTCAACAACACGTTTTAGAACCCATTATCATCTTAGAGAAGCCAATTCCTCACCTGTCACTGGCACCATTGTCCTGGGTCTGGAGGTTTTCCTCGCTGGCCATCTGAGCTGCTCTTCTGCTTGCTTCCTCTTCTGTCTCACTCAGGCTTTCATCCTCTAAACTGTCAGGCTCCATATCATTGTCCTGGTGTCGGTCCTCAAGTTCAGGCCGGGACTTAACCTCTTGAGTGAGGATTTCTGAATCAGATTCCAAGGAGTCTCTTGAAATCAGCTGTATGTTTTCTTTCTTAAAAGCTGGGTCTGTGGACTGGCTCTTTAAATTGGCATGATGGATAGGAGAACGAATAGAAATCTTGGGAATGAATTTACTGTCACTCATCTTGAAAAATACAAAATCAACAGGGGATACTCTTGTTGATAGGAGCAGTTGGCTGATGTTTAAAGTTGTGGTTCATAAACAGTACCTAAAAAAAATTATATTTGTTTACTCTATGACTATGGAAATCTCCTTAGTGACAATGTTAATCAAAAATTTAAGTAAGAGAACCTTGTATTGCAGGCTTTTGTATACACCTGTTTGTGTGTATGAAAAAGGTCTCCTGGAGAAAACTATTTTTCTCTCTGCAGAAACACATCTGAAGTAGAGCTGCAGAGTTCATAAACAGCCTGAGTAATCAAATGCAGTTTTATTGAGTAAATAAATGGCTGCTGGGAAGCAGTTCCTATTTCTAGTTTTCAAGGGCTTATTACCAACAAGCCTGGAAATAGCCACATGGTTAATTGTGGACAGTTCTTTGACAGCCTTATTTCAAACATACAGGGCAACAATATATACAGGCCCTGTTCAGTAGCATTCATGGATAGAATAAAACAGGTTTAGGGTCTACCCTTTGGACAGTAAAAAGAGATAGGAGGGTGATTTCCATAGTTGGAATTGTAAGTGGGAACCTGTTTTGTTCCTATACCTGTTTTGGCTGACTACATTGTTTGGAAAAGATTCTTTTGATACTCAGATTGCTACTAGATAGGAGAGTTTAATTTAGGTGGACATATAGAGAGAGATCAATCTCAGCTCGATATTAAAAATAACCCATCATAATGATTAAAGTTGTTCATTAAAAGAGTCCATGGACTTATGAATTCTGCCACTAAGTGATTCAAAGCAGAGGCTGGAGTTCCACCTGCCAGGGATGCTGTCCTGGGGAAAGCTGGATGGGGGTGGGGGGATGGGGCAGAATAACAGGTAAGAGTTAGTTGGAGTCCCTTACAGCTTGCTAAGGGGGTGATTCCCAGGGAACTCTGGCTGTGTCTAAGGCTATTATAAAGACCCATGGAGAGGGTGCTTTGTGTTCAGATGGAATCGAGAGGAGATGATGTTTTTAAATTGTGCTTCTTTTCATGTCTACCTAGTATTTCTATTTTGGTCTGTCTTCTGTTTGACTGCCTTTATGCCATTGTTTTTTTCTGTAAGTCAGATAACAGAAGCCATCCCTCTTAGAGATTATTACAAAATTTGTTTTAATGACTTGCTCTTGCTCTTTTGGCAAATCCTAACTTTAATTAAATAACATGACCTTATTCCTATTCCTAGGATTGCTTAGAATGTTGACCTTGCTGCTAACGTTTCCAAGGAACATTACCAACTCCTTGGAGGAAAGAAAGCGCCTTAACAAACGTGACAAACAAAAGGTAAAATAGGCACGAAGTGATTTTCTATTTAAGTCACAGTTCCCCCTGTTGGTAGACTAATATATTACGGTGTAATTTTACAGAGTGATTTGCTGTATTAAGTCTCTTATTTAAAAAATGTATATTGCATTCTGCCTCCTGCCTTGTTGTTTTAATACTGATAAACAGATTGTGGCTTTTAAGGATAATTTTTTGGAAAGCAGCAAACCTATCAAATACTAACTAATACATAACACATTTTATCTAAAAGTTTGTAGAAATATTGGTTTTACTGTGTAAGGTCAATGAATTTGGAAGCTTGCAGAACAAGCTTAAAATAATCATTACAATTCAATTTAGAATTACTCTTTCATAAAATAATTCAGTCCCTTTAATTTCTCTTCTTGAATGAGATAGACAAGCGTTTCTTGGAATTAATAAATAACAAAATGGGGACCATAGAAGGTAATTTTGTTGTCATCAATGGATTGATGAAATTCAGGAGAGTATGAAAGACCCAAAGCTAAATACTACAAAAGCCAAGTTTTCTGTGGAGCGTGATCTTTTAAAAGCATGGGATTGAAGAAGGAAAAGCTGACATCCTGAGTAAGTTAGTAAGGGGGCGTTTTAAATTTAATCAGTGTGGGCTTCTGGTACTATTGTGCAGGAAAACAAACAAACAAACAAACAAACAAACGGTGTGCCACTGAAATTTCTGACCAACAGAGGAGGATCAGTCTAAGTAAACAGAAAGACAGGGCTGTATCTGATGGTATCTAGGGACTAAGAAACGGCCACTTCCCCAGGGATCCCTGCAAGACCGTAGGTCTAGTTCACTAGCACGGCGACAAACAAACTTCTGGATGTGAAAAGGACCCTCTTGAGCTCCCCAGGATGAATGGTAAAGAAAAGGGAGCCCTGATAGGAAGAGGCCGGAAGCTGCCCCTTCAGAGACGTGCGAGTTGTTTTCCACCTGCGCTTGTTTCCGAGGGACTAGACCCGCCGCAAGGGGCGTTTCAGGGTCCAGGAAGTGACAGGGCCGCGGGCCGGTGCCCTCACCTGCCTCGGCGACCGAGAACAGGGCTGTCCTGGGACGGGGGCGTCGGCCCTGCCAGGCCTGGCCGCGGCCGCCCTGCGTGCTTTCCGCCCGCGGCCCCAAGGCTCTCGCACTGACTTCTTTGAGTTTCTGTCCCGATCCGGTTTGCTCCTGTGGTCTCCTGCTGTCCCCTCCCGCAGTCCCAGCCCTAGCCGTTTCCCCCTCCTAGGCGATGCCACCTACCGCCGTCCCGGGAGGCCACCACCCGTCACCTGCGCGGCGCTCCTCGGTGACCGCAACCCCGGTGACCCCGCATCCTTCCGCGTTGTCGCAGTCGCCGTGAGGCGCTGCCCTGGCGACCGCGGGCAACACAGCGGGCGCCGGGCGGGGCGGGCCAGGACCACCCGCGTCCTGGACGGTACCGGCAGGGCCCGAATTTTGGAAACCAATGCGACAGTGGCGTCTCCGAGAGGCTGCTGTCGGCCACCCTGACTTTCCAAAGTGGGAAGGCAGTGGAAGGGCAGGCCGCCGAGTGGGAGGAGATAGTTACCACAAATAAAACTGCTAGGAAATGCAAGAACTCCTGCAAACCGAGAAGGGAAAGAATCGACTCCAGCAATGGGTAAATGACTGGAACAGGTATTTCACACACACACAGAAAGAAATCTAAAGGGCCAGTAAGTATCTGTGGTTTATTGAAAAGGCGCTTGATTCATTAACAATCAGAAAGGATGCCACATTCACCAGACAGGCAGAAGTTAACTCGTTTGACAGGGCCACGTGTTGGGGAGCACACTAGACAAAGAACTCTCCTCTGCTCCTGGAGGGTGCGCGCTGCTGCCCCTGAGCCTTGGAATGGTTTGCTATACCAGCATACTGCAGGATCTAGCAATTTCACCTCTAGGTATTTATCTTTAAGAAGTGTGTCTGAACTGAAAATAACTGAAATGCCCATCGACAATAGAAGGGCTAAATTGTCTTATTCCATATACTGGCACGCTCTGCAGCAGTAAAAATAAATGAAATACAGCTATATGCAACAGCATGGAGGCGTCTTAAATACTATGTAATACTGAACAACAGCAAAAGTCCAGAAAAATTTATGCTGTAAGATGCTGTATATAAAGATTAAAAACAAAAAATAAATAATAAAATTGAAAACAGGCTAAATTACACTCTACTATGTTTATGGATGCATATTTAGTGGAGAAAACGATGAAAAAACAGCAAAGTAGTGATTCTGATAAAGTTAGGAATGTGGTCAGTTCTGATATTCAGGGTGAGGGTAATGGGAAAGAGTGCTTTTGAGATTTTATTTCCTAATTTCAATGGTGTTTTCAAAGATGTTCATCTTACAGCAGTTTCTTAAGTTGTACATTTATATGTATGCATAATATTTCACTGTTTAAAAAGTTTTCAAAGAAAAGAAGTGATGGGACTTATCTGCACATTAAAATAGCATTAAAACCACATGTAGACGTGAATAACTGTTCTCAAAGAGGCAAAAATGATTCAATACCAGTTGGCTCATCAATATCAGGAAATATAGGAAAATGAAAGAAGTCCTTATTACCTAATTTTAGCATTTTTAAAATTTTTATTAGCATTAGTTTTTTTTTTTTTTAACTTTTTTGATAGCCGGGGCCTTATCTTATGGGTGTATAGCAGGACCCCAATATCTGTTGAAGAATTAAAAGCAAGGTAGGTGAAAACTGGTGTCATTCTGCCCAGTATATTATACTAATTTATCATTAGAGCAACCACAAATATGCAAACAAACCCCAAACAGAAGAACTTGGTCCTCATAGTGGCTTTCAGAGTATGTTACAGAATCAGTGTTGAGACAGTCACCCTTGTCAGCCTGCTCATCTCCTGGTCAAAGGAAATCGATGCTGTGGTCCTTCAGTTTCTTCAAGTTCTTTCTGCCCTATCCAGAAAGCATCAGTGGTCCCTGTGCAATTCAGGAGTCTGTCAATCCAACACCTAACTGTGGAAACTGTGCAATGCTTCAAGCTTGATTTTCCTCTTGCCTCCTCTATAATGGCTGTTCTGGTAATTCTTTTTTAGAGCAAAACAAAAGGCTGAGAATAATGAACTTAAGTGGAAGTCAGAGTCATCAGGAGATAGAAGTCATGTTAGTTATTATTATTTTTCTTTTCTTTTCTTTTTTTGCAGTTTTTGGCTAGGGCTGGGTTTGAACCTACCACCTCCAGCATATGGGGCCAGTGCCCTACCCCTTTGAGCCACAGGTGCTGCTCCATCATGTTAGTTATTTTAATGGAAATAATTTTATATGAAAATTTATTAACTAAAAAGTTGAAAAGGAACATAAGTATCCTGGGCATAATAACTATAGAGATCAGCTTCCACCCCTATGGTTGGGAGAACACAGGGATGAAGGCAGAATGATAACACTTAGAAGCTTAGAGGAGGGGTTCTCGGGTGGGATGTAGGCCTCTGGGGAGGGTGAGATCCCCAGCTGGTGGATGCTGGTGTCTTTGAAAAGGTATGGGGAAGCTGGTTCTGGGAGTGTTGGGAAAACTGGACTCAGTGGCTGCTACTGAAACTAACTGAGCTGATGGGGTGACCAGCAGAAGAAACAACTTCAAGGTGACCCTAGCAAAAGGAACAATTCTTTTCTCTTCTCCAGCCTTGAGATTTCCCTCTCCTGCCCC